CGAGCCGTCGAATTCACCAAATGCAAGTGCTGAGTATAGTGGCGGCTTATCGGATGATTCCCTGGATGCTCTTCCTGGTTCCTACAGCAACGGTTGGAACAACAGGTTGGTTACTGCTAATTTCTGAAATTAGATAACAAATAAAATAAATAGCAACGCGCACCAGACTAACCGGTGCGATCATGCGTTTTGTGCAATTCAAATCATCGAACGACTGCCTATTAATGATTTCCACTGCTTTGTACTTTAGTCCATGCAAAAATAGTTCAAAAATTCGAAAACAGTTAAAAATTTCATGCACCTGCGCATGAAAGTTGAATTCGAAACCTTGAGGGATGAATATCTTCCCGTGATTCCCGAGTTGATAGTTTGCCCGCCAAAATTTTCACGAGACCTAAATGACACTCAAGAGCGCGGGAAAGCTGAATTTGAATGGGCAAGGTTGAGCGTGGTCAAGCGGTCATTACCCTATAATTTCAGCTTCCTAGACCTCGTGGTTCCCGAGATAATAATTTACCCGTGAAAACTTCCACTAGCCCGTAGGTGATACCCGAGAGCGCGGGAATGCTGAATTTGAATGGGTAAGGTTGTGCGTAGGTAGGAGGTCATTACCCTAAAATTTCAGCCTCCTAAACTCCTTGTTTCCCGAGATAATAATTTACTCATCAAAAATTTTCGCGGGGCCGTGCGTCCTACCCGCGGATACAGGAAGGTTGAATTTGAGCTTTCTGGGTCGCACGTGGTCAGCGGGCATACCCACAAAATCTTAGTTTCCTGGCTTCCGTAGTTCCCGAGGTACTGATTTTACCGAAAAAATTTGCGGGGCCGTACGCGTTACTCGCGGGTACGGGAAGGCTGAATTTAAATTTGCTGCGTCACCCGCTGGCGGGGAACACTATAGCAAAATTTCAGCCATCTAGCTTTTGTGGTTCCTGAGTTGAAAGTGCGAGACAAAATGTGGGATACACACAAAAACACACACACAAACAAACACACACAGACAATCCCGTGATAATATGCGTTTTGTCCTGCTGTTACACAACACAAAATGCATAAAAAATCTTCCTGCATGACAACCAATTTTTAAATATACCGACTGCTGCTTGACTGATTTCTATCATCTGAAAACTTTTTTCGCACTGCTAAAACACGGATAAATTAAGCTGCTTTTGTGACGTATTAGGATGGAGACTTTGGAAAAACCATTATTTCGGGGATGAGAGGGAAGAGCTTGAAGAATTGGTTGATCGGTTGCAAAAAAAGGGATAGAGAATTGGCAAAGATGTGTCAAAAGAAAACGATCACTGCTTATGGTTCAGGTGAAATGTGTTAGAAAGGGTAACAACTGTGGAACAGGGCCTGCCTGAAGTAAAACACTCATTTGATCACATTTATCTGCATTGGGGAAGATCTCATGCAACACGTAGCAAACCACTGTTAAAAAAATTTTTTTTGTAGTGGGCTCTGTTTGAAATAATTTTTGATACAGGAATGCAATGGATCAGATGAGCGAAAGCGTTCATTTTGGTCAGAATGAATTGCTGCAACAACTGAAACAGCGCTTGAAGAAAACGAAATCCGAATCGCCTGTAACTGCAGTTCCGAGATTTCCTGAGACCAAAAAAATCTGTACGGAACGAGCGCAGCAGTCCTCTTCAGTAAAAACAGATGCGAAGCTGAAAAAAGTTTGATTTTTTGGTCACAATAATTACATTATTGTTAAGCAAGCAGTTGCTTCACACCAGCGAAATCGGCATGATCAGCCGTTTGCCGATAGTCATATGCATTTGTACTGACAGCAAGACTGCTCTTTTGAATAATACTTCTGTTCAACGCCGAATTTTGTAATATCTTTACGGTTTTATCTTTGAAATAGAAGAAGTGGCTTTGTAGTTCCGATTTAGTTTTTTTTGAAAGACATATTTGAGGGGCATAATTGACAAGAAGTGGTTTCTTCTACAGTCGTAAAACCGTTGTCCTAACGGTAATGAATTGGAACTTTATTTTGTTAGTTTCATGAGATGGAGTGAAGTGAGGAGAGCAGTTAGTTCTTTTTCTTATCATCAGTCGTTTTAGGTGAACGAATTACCTCAGGCCGATGAACGTTGGT